TTTAAAACTAATAATTAATTTTATGTCGTTGTAACTTGATTGTTTTCAGCAATAAACCAACTATTAGATGTAGAAAATGGTAATCATATCTTATATCTATAAAAATACATGAAAAAAATCACTTATGAAATTATCAAAATATTATTCCTATCGTTTAATAAAAAATGGACACATGACCAAATTAACTATTATATCATCACATTATAATTATGAAAATACATTTCTCTTATAATTATTTATTTAATACATTTGTATCATAATTATGGAAAATATCTTTTCCCTATTAAATGAGCAAAAAATCTCTAGAAAATTAACAAAATACTCTTTTCATTGTTTGATAAGAAATTAACACATGACTAAATTGACTATTATGCTCTCATATCATAATTACAAAAATATATATTCTCTTATAATTTTTATTATAATACTATCATATCATAATTATGAAAATACCATTTCTTTATAATTAATCAAAATTACTATAATACCATCCTATCATAATTATAGAAATACATTCCTATCACAATTGATCAAACTTACTATAATATCCCTTTTACCATATTAATAAAATGCCCCTATGAATGCTTAATAGAAAGTTGATATGTGACGTTTTGTTTCAAAATCAATAACATATATTAGAATAATCTCCTTGATAATTATTATAACAGTCATTTGTTTATTTAATATGATGTCGACACGTATTCAAATTTATTATAATGCTTTTCTACCATAATTATGAAAATATTTTTCTTCTTAAAATTAGCTAAATTTACTATAATACCATTCTATAATAATTACAAAAATACCTATCCTACTATAATTAGCTAAAATTACTACAATGTATGTTCTATCAAATTATAAAAATACCCTTACCATAAGAGTAGGACTATTTGCACTCCCAAAAACTCTTAATACATCCCACAAAATTAATCAAATAAAAAATTACTTAAATACCCATTAGTAAATTACCTTTTGTCCTTTACATCCCTTCTCAGTAAGTTACTAGAAATGAATTTTTGAAAACTTCTTCAATGTACCAAAAATGAATTTTCAAAAACTTATTAACTATACCAAAAATCATTTTCGGAAAGTATCATAATTATCCCAAAATGCATTTTCGAAAGGTATTGCAATTATCTGAAAATATATTTTTGGAAGTAAATTTTTACTTTAGTTTTTCTCTTACGATCTTCAAACAGATTTGTAATGATTTTTTTTATGTATGTAATATTTAATTTTGACAATAAAAACTTCTAATCTTTTGGCCAAGTACTATTTGTTTAATAATGTTCAAAACATTTATCAATTCTAACAAATGTTTATTTGAAAGGAATCACTAATTATGAAAAGCGCTTGTACAAGTGACTACTGCACCATGTACGATGAGGTAGTCACACTCTATCGCACATTATGCAGCAACCAATTTGCACAAATACTTTTTTCACACTTAGTGATTCCTTTCAAATGTATGTTTGTCAAAATTACAAAATGTTGCAAACGTTATTGAATGTACAGTGCCTGGTGATTGAAAGATTAGAGATCCCTTTTGATGGATTTGCTAATCTGCTAATGACATAATGGGGTTAATTTTTGTGTACTAAAAAGTTATTTAATCTTTATTATTGGCTAAAGGTTATTGTACACCAAAAATCCATTTCCAAAAGTTTTTGAAAGATTTTGAAAATAAATGTTCGTAAACCATTGAGAAATTTTGGAAATACATTTCTAGAAATTCTCAAAAGTTTCTGAAATAAGAATTCCAAAAAAGGATTCTGGAAATAAATTTCTAATATGTTGAAGAAGTTTTCGAATATTTTTTTCTGAAAACCTTCAACGCATTTCAGGAATTCATTTCCGAAAAGCTCGAATCACTGTCCAAAACGCACTCTTAAATTAAAAATCTTAAATCTTTTAAAAATAAACATAAAATCAAACAAAAAAAGAACTAACAATTTCCCTATGATTCTAAGCTATCTAACATCAAAATCAAGATTGAAGCTTAATTTAGGGTTGAATCCCTAAAAGGTTTAGGGTTTTGGTAAAAAAGAAGCGATGTGGTGTAAGGTGTTTGGTTTTTTAGGAAATTAATGTTTTAGTTTAAGGTGTAAAAAAAAGAAAAAACCTGTGTTAATAGTAATAGGGTATGAAAAAAAGGAAATGAGTGTGTAAATAGTCTCTCTTATCATAATTGGTCAAAAATTACTACAATGCCTTTTATATTATAATTACCAAAATGCCTTTATGAGTATTTTATATAAAATTGACATGTGATATTTTTTTTTCAAAATTACTATAGTACTTATTTTAACACAATATAAAATTAATCATCTATTAAATTATTAAAATACTCTTGTCATTACTTTACAAAAATTTGACATGTGACATTTTATTTTAAAATTACTATAATACCCCTATTAAATTACATATAAAATTTTAATATAATATAAATTTAACTATATATTAAATTACTAAAACACCCTTACTATTGCTTCATAAAAATTTGACATGTGAATTTTTGTTTGAAATGTATTATAATACCCCTATTAAATTACTTATTAAATGTTAAATAACATATATTAAAACACTTCCTATGAAAATTATTATAACACTCCTTTATTTGTTTAATATGATGTTGACACGTATCCAAATTTACTATAATATTTTTCTATCATAATTACGGAAATACCTCTCTTCTCATAATTAGCTAAAATTATTATAATGATCTCTTACTATAAAAATGCTCTTTCTATTATAATTGGCTAAAATTATTATAATGATTTCTTACCATAATTATGAAATAACCATTGTATCATAATTAGTCAAAATTATTATAATACTTTTATACCATATTTACGTAAATGCCCATCCTACCATAATTGATTAAAATTATTATAATACTCCTCATATCATAATTATATAAATGACTTTATAAGTGCTTCTTAGAAAGTTGACCAGTGACATTTTGAATTAAAATTACTATAATACTCATATTAAATTAAGTACTAAATTTTAATATAATATAAAATTAACCAAATATTAAAATACTAAAATAACCTTACCATTGCTTTATAGAATTTGACATATGGCATTTTATTAAAAATAATAAAAACTAAATGATCAAGTGATGAGCTAGATAATTATATTTTCTATTAAAATAAAAATTAAATAATTTATATTTTAAAATAAAAATATTTATTCCCCGACATATTGGGGGGCAACACACTAATAAATATATTAAAATCAAAATTTTTAATAAAAAAAATTCTATGTGGATATGCTACATTTTTTACATGTAGAATGTCATAAGTAAATGTCATGTGACCTAAATTAATGAATTTGATTATATATATATAATTTTAAAATAATTAATTATGGCTAAATTAATTACATCTATATTGTTTAAATATCAATATTCTTACCCCTTATAAATTAGCTACAATTAATTTGATCATTAATTCAAAAAATCAAAATTTAAATAGAAAACTCATTAATTATGAATAGTTTGCATATGTACTAATCCCTATTTATGATTATATAAACATATTTGTTAGAACAATCTAATATAAGTACATACAAAAGATAACAAAAAACAAAACAAGTCTATGTATATAGGCTAATTTTTTTTATACAAGAATGGTATCAAATGATGTCATGTGTTTTGATCTTAATCACCAATTCAAATTTCAAAGTTAAAATTATAAATTAATTTAATTTTTAATATTTTTTCAATTGTTGTCTAAAAACTATTATTAACTATATATTCAATGGCTTTAATATTTTTTTACAAAAGTCGCATTGACCATTCAATAATTTTAATTTATTTTAAATTATGTAAAATTTTTCATACTTACATTATTTTAATTTTGGATGTTTGATTGCAAAAATAAAAAGAATTGATTGATAAGTCAAATTATGTATTTAAAATATAAACTCTATAATAATATGTAATTAAAGGAGGCAAAAATTTTCATAATAATATGTAATTGACTGATAGCTCAATCTTTAAGATTTACATTTATGAGTATATATATGTTGTTTATAACTATAATAATTATGATGACATACACAACAGCTATTGTTAAAAAATTTTCATTCATATTCTTCTACTCTTTTTTTCTTTGCTACATTGTTTAAATAATGTTTTTTTTTTATATTTTAAATCAATTTTCTACAGTTTATAATAAGCTATAAAATGAAACTTGTATGTTTCAATCCCTTTGATGAATTTATTATTCAACTTATTTGTTTATTTATATAATTTTTTAATTTTTTGATTTATTATTATTATTTGAAACTTATGTGTTTCAGTCTCTTTGATGAATTCATTATTCAACTTACTCATAAAAATTGTTAAAAATATATTTTTTCTCTTTATTTTTATTCGATTATTAATTATTTTATTTGCAATATGTATGGAGAGAGATCATTTTTTCACTTATTTTTATCTACAGTTTTATTTTATATTTTTTCTGTATATGATTTAACATAAAGTTCAACCAATTTGTATTATTTGAATTTACATTGGATTTTTAATTCAAAGTTTATTCATATATAATAAACTTTTAGTTTTTTTTTCAAAAATATATAATAAATCTTTGGTTCAGTACTTATAATTCACTATATAATTATTTTTCCAAAAAAAATTAATGTCATAAATTATTAAAATCTTGAGTTTCAATAACAATATGATTTTTTAATGATATGATTTTATGAGTAAAAAATATTTTTTTGATTAATAAAAAAGTAAACAATTATTAAAAAGAATCATATATTTCTTCTAATTAATTACTGAAGTAGGTGAAATGATATTGACATATAAATTAAATATTTATAGAAAAATATTTAATTTGAATTTTTTTATTTAACTTAGGTGTAGTATCTCAAATTAAGCGTACACATTCAATCATACATTCAAACATATATTTTTTTTTTTATTGAATTTATATATAATTTTTATTAAAATTTTAAATTATATTATTTTTTTTATATTTTTTGTCCAATTTTATGTTGTGTCAATTTTAAATTGTCAATGTCTGCACGCCAGTCAACTTTAGGGTAAAGCTTAGTTAAGGATTGTCCGAATTGGGTCGAGCATGAAGCTCCAAAACTGTCCTCCCTAATTCGAGTGGGAAAAGGATAAAATCGTCAAACAAAAAGGATTCCCAACAACACGCCCGATAAATCTATTTCAACTTGTCTTCTTCATTGTTCACGTAACAATCGCTCTTTGCCGTTAAAGTCTGGTACTTGGAACATACTGTATTTTCTCTCACACTAATGGAAATGGAAATTGAAGCCTTTGAAAATGGAAATGACACTACCGTTACCGAAATCAACGACCCATCCACAGAAGAAGGCGGCGATGAGGACCGCGACGATTTGGCGGTCAGAGGGCGAGCGCGAAGAGAGCGAGTGAAGGGGCCGTGGTCGCCTGAGGAAGATGCGATACTAATTGAACTTGTGAGCAAGTTCGGGGCGAGGAATTGGAGCTTGATTGCGCGTGGAATCGTCGGTCGTTCTGGCAAGTCGTGTCGGCTTCGTTGGTGTAATCAGCTTGACCCTGCCGTTAAGCGCAAGCCATTTACTGGTGCAAAGTCTACACCTTTGTTAATTTTTGATCTGTCAATGTGGTTATCCATTTTCTTAATTTTTGGGAATTGCTTGGATGTTTCTGCATGTTATATTTATGTAGTAATTTTGAAGTTTAGAGTACTATCTTTGTTCAAAGTTTAAGCTATGCCATGTAATTGTTAGCAAAAATTAATGTAGTTTTATGTGTTTACAAATTACAATCTTTTAAGAACTGTGCTTTAAATGAACAAGCATATCAATTCCCCAAAATTTCGAAACTGACAACAATGCTGAACTCGTGCTTTTGTGAATTTTAGGAATATGTCTGATAGAAATAGAGATGCTAATGTAAAAGTGAAAACAAAGTCGCTAGCTTTTGCTATCTAAAAGCTTGTAAAAGCTTGATTTATATGTTTCTTGAGGAAATTGAACAGGGGTCTTTTTGTTTGGAAATGGCAGTAATTTTTGCAAGCATTAGAGAAACTGATTTTTATTTAGGGGATGTCATTGCTTATAAGAAAGTAACAAGAAGGGGAAAGTTGTCTGAAGTCTTGTGCTTAGTATTCTAGCACAAATACCATGCATTATCTTTAGTCAAAGCATATTGTGCTCATAGTCATATCAATGTTTTTACCATGTACACATATCTATGCATTTCTACAATTGATTGGTTCATTTAGGCTTACTTACAAGAATGGAAAATATGCCTTACAGCAATATATTAGTGCTTTTTGATAAACGAGCTGATAATCATGTTTGCTGCAGATGAGGAGGATCAGATGATAATTTCGGCACATGCAGTACATGGGAACAAATGGGCAGTAATAGCAAGGCTTCTACCTGGAAGAACAGATAATGCTATTAAAAACCATTGGAATTCCACATTACGGCGTTGGGGCATGGATCTTGGTGGAATAAAACCAGAATCTGAAAATATGGTGGAAGATGCTAGCTTGGACAAAACCAAGGGATCATCTGAAGAAACTTTATCTTGTGCAGAGGGTAGTTCATTCAGATCCCTGGAAGGAAAAGATGTAAGCTCTTTGGAAAAGGTAGATAATCAATTTAAGGGCAAAGCACTAACAGGGATTCAATCTAGTCATGAATCAATTGAACCACCTACTCTTTTCCGTCCTGTGGCCCGTATTGGTGCTTTTAATGTTTATAATAATGTGGATGCACCAGAAATTGTTTCACCATGTTCAAGGACAGTTCCAATGCTTGAAGGAGTTTACACTGAACGTTTAGTGCCTCTACATTGTGGTCTTGGCTGTTGTGGAACTCAAAATGGTAGAAATCAAAATATTTCTTTGCTGGGGCCAGAGTTTGTGGAATTTTCAGAACCTCCATCTTTTCCAAATTATGAATTGGCTGCACTAGCCACTGATATAAGTAACCTTGCATGGCTGAAAAGCGGATTGGAAAATAACAGCATCAGAGATATGGATGATGCAGCTGGTGGTACAGCATCTCATAGATCTCAAGTGCTCATGGGACATTTTGAAGAGAGCGGAACAAGTGATTATTTACGTATTGAAGAGAAGAACAAGAAGTTAATGGGCAGAATGACCAACTTGCTGTCAATATAAAATAGGAGGCAATCCTACTTCCAGCCTCCAGGTTGAGACATTGCCATGGCCTTGTATGTATTATTGTGTAGAAGCCTAGAAGGCTGTCAGAAAAATGATGAAAAAAAGTAGTTCAGGCTTTTCAATGGCCTCTTAATTAACTTGGGAGTGGTGCAGGGATGGTATCCTGGTTTCTTCTGTATTTGATTTTGAAGTAAACATCATCCGGTACTGAACTATAACAAGGGCTTCATTGTTTCAAGGTCATTGCAATGCTTGACCCAGATACTTAAAATGTCATACTGGTTGATAAAGTTGATAGAGGGGATCTTGTTTACAGAATTTTACAAAGCCTGTTAACATCCCTTTACCAGCATGAATTGATGGCAAAGCTTGGAACCATGGATTACTTTCTGATTACTACTCTTCATCTTTTTTGTTGTGTATGTAGTTGTTTTCTAATGAAGTTTTCATTAACTTTCTTGGGATCAAGAATGTCTTCCCTAGAAACCACATTGGCCTTATAATCTCATTTTACCATTCTCGCTTGAAAATTTAAGTTTAACTAGTTTTAAACCTGGATATTTTTATAGATAAAAAAATTCATATATAATCAAGAATGTCTTCCCTAGAAACCACATTGGCCTTGTAATCTTATTTTACCATTCTCCCTTGAAAAATTAAGTTTAACTAGTTTTAAACCTGGGTATATTAATAGATCAATAAATTCTTATATAAGTTTTTTTTTTTTTTTTAAATTCTAATACAAGTTTTAAGTTTATGAATAACTCAAATTTTATATTTTTATAAAGCATTTTACGTACACTTCGTTTTATTATAATTTTACAATTGTCTAACCATAATTCAAAACTAAGTACAGGTCTATCGCTTATAAATATAAACTTTATATAAAATTTTTATATATTTTACATAATTTTGAATTGTTATTAGTTAATTGTAATACAATAATTATAAGTGAAATACTGGTGATATGCTCCCTTTTTTTATTTGGATTTTGTATATTTCAATATAGTAAAATAAGTTAATTATATATTAGATATAATTATGCAATTATCACAAAATTTAAAAACTCAAATTATAATTTATTAAATGTAAGTAGTCTCTTAACAAAAACCAGTCGTGTTCTTAATTTTAAGAAATTGAAATTTTCGTTGTATAAAAGTCAATCTCTTATACAAACTTTTTCATTAGAAATTGTTCCACAAGTTGATTTTGAGACAAAGATTTCAAAAAAAATATAAAACAACTAAATTAAATTTATTTATTTATTTTTATTCACCTTAAATCATTCTCAATTAAATTCATATAAAAAGTAATACGACTTTAAAACAATACAAAATAATTAAATTAGCTAAATATATTTATTTATATTAAATTACTCTCAATTAAATTCGTATAAAAATAACAACAATTAAAAGATTATTCATACATAATATATAATATTATATCCCCTTCTTCCAATAATATTATGATTTTAGGTTTGAATTTAGCAAAAAATTTTAATTGTTAGACCAAATCAATTTATAAATGACAGAGACATGTTAAAATTTTAATTATTACATCAAATCAATTTATAAATTACAAATTAATGTAAAAAGAATATTATTGCACATAAAATAGAAATAATGCTTTTTAACCGTAAATATATATAAAAAAAAAAGTAAGAACAATGTGTTCACAATTAAAAAGAAGAAATAATATTGATTTCTAAAAAAAAGAAACAAATAATACTGATAGAGTAAAATATTCATTAAAAAAAAGATATAATAGAATTTTATTTATGAGACATCTTAGATATCTTTGAAACTCTACCGCTCATCAAAATCTATCTCTATAACGACAATTTCATTTTTCATGAATATACGTTGTTATTTGTCTTCAATGCTTTTGTTAATTTTAGAGGTATTTATTCAAAAGAATAATAGATTTCATTCATCACTACATTTTCCCTTCATATCTTAATATATAACAATATTAACAAAAAGTGTAAAATGTATATATTGAACTAAAGCAATTAAACAACAATTGGAGGGAAGGTAAACTTATGTAGCAAATATTCATTTACATCTATCCATAAAAAGTAAAAACTAATTAATTCATTAAGTATTTATATCTTAACTTCCAAAAAGTAATATTTTCTTTTACATATTATTGTAGATGTACTCAAGTGATACCATCCAAAAAGAAGTAGAAGGTACAAAGAAAGTAAAGAATTGGTTGTTTTTTGGAAACCCAATTTAGTTCTGACAATATATATGATCATTTTAGCGGTGATTTTTCTTTAGTTAGATTTCATTGGTAGTTAGAATGGTACTAATCTCCATTTTAAATGTAAAACAAAGTGAGAATTCTACTTGTAATTGAGGTAGTATTGGAAACAAAACAAATACCTAACATCTATGTGTAAAAATTAAAAACTAATTCATTAAAAAAATAAAAATTAAAAACAAATGAAAAAAAATGAAACAAACAAATCAAACAAATAAAAATAAATAAAAGAGAAACAAAACAAAATAAAAGTATTGAAATAGGCCTTCAAACCAATACTCTAATATGTCAAAACTATTCTTATTTATAATGAAGTTGAATCTTAAAAATTAAAAACTTAATTTAATTGAGAGCAATTTAAAATAAATAATAATAAGAGAATAAATTTTGATTACAAATTAATTTACACTTTTTTATATAAGGCAAGTAACAAATACTATTTAAGGTCTCTTTTAAATTTGTGACATAAACAAAATTCAAATGGTAATCTTTATAAAATCAAGTCTATATGATTTACATTAATTTTTGAATGGTAATATATATATATATATATATATATATACCATTTATGAGTTTTTTTCCAAACTAATATACTTAATGATCTTATTTCCTTAACTAAGGTTCTTTTAAACTTTATTATGAAAATCAGGTTATATTGCATAATTGGTCCATATCAGTATGATAATTCCAACTCACCATGCTTCTCCATTTTCCCCAACTCTCTCTTTTGTAAATACTAGAAAATTTGCCCAGTTACACTAGGGCTCATTTTTTTATTTTAAAAAATAAATTATTTAAATTTAATTGTATTTATTTCTTTATTATGTATAAAAATATAAAAAATTATCGATTATAACATTTTCAAAATTTTCATTTTAAAATTTTTTTTAAATTAAATATCTTTTACTATTTAATTTAATTTAATAAATAATGAGCAAATTGATATGTCTTAAGAGGTTTTCTAAAAAAACTCAAATTTTCTTTTTTTTTTTGTAAGAGATTTTATTTTTTTAAAATAAAAATATAAAAAAAGTGAAGGCATCATTTAATTAGACCTTCATTTAACATAAAAATCTAAAACATTATTTGAAAGACTATTTGTATATCTACCAAACATTGTTTTGCTTCTTATCTAAATAAAAAAAATTATAAAAGTCTAATTATTTGACAAATATTAAGCAATGAGACCTTAATTAAGGTTAATGAATAGTAAAAATTATGAGGCTAAGCTACACCTAAAAATTTTTTTGCTATAAAAAATTGTTTGGTATTTGCTCTTGATTTTTGCAATTATATTCCCTTGTCGTTGTTTTTGAATTGTCTCTAATTCCTCTTGTTTTTTCCCCTCTTTAAGCTCTTTAGTAATCTCTCTCTATATAGGATTTTTATGCCTAATTTTGGTTCTTGAATGAATGACAAAAAAATCAAATTTGCTTGACAACTTTAATTATGATTTCTTTTGATTTTTCTTCAATCCCAAGTCTTTTCCAAAATTTTCTGATATACACCCTTAGAATTCTAAAAAATTCAATCTGATTAAAAAAAAAAATTCAATTCTTGAAATTCTTTTTATTGATTTTTTAAGTTTTTTTATTTTAACACTTTAACTTTAATCCACAGAAAAAATAAATAAAATAAAATAAACTAAAAGGAAGTATTTTTGGACCTTTAATTCTTGGGCCTAAGGGTCACAGATCAGGTCACAAGTTCAACTCGGGTCTAACCCGCAAGTCACCTGGCAATTTTCCCTTTTTTCTCTTTTTATTATAATGGTGCATTTTGCACCCTGAGATGAATTATTAAACCCTTTTTGTTTCTTTTTTTTTTTTAACTATAAAACCAAAACATTTTTTTATCTTCATTTAAATGCTTCATCTTAAAAAAAAAAAAGTTCATTTCCTTTAAACAAAACCCAACAACCCCTACTAACCCAGTTTTTAGTGACCGACAGTTGGTTGAACCGTTGCTCTCCACCACCGACTAATGTTATTTTAGTTCCAACTTTCACCCACAACTTCTGCTCGACCTCTTGATCTCTATTTTAAGCTCAAATTTTTCCAAAAGTACCTAAATTTGCCTAGAATTGGAAATTTAAACCAAAAATTCAAACCACAAAATCTCTTCCTTCCATCATCAATCCTTCTACATTTTTAATATGTTATTCTCCTATCCTTAACCTTCATTTCTTCCATCTTCGATCACCTAAAAGTCTTTTGCTGTTGTGAGCCGCCCTTCACACCATCGCTTATTCGTTGTCGTTTATAAACCAAAAAATGACCCCTCTTTCTTGTGCTATAAATTTAAAAGATATGAGGTGAATCTACCTAGAAACTCCCTTAAATGCTAAACTCCCCATACCTGAAATCCTTCTATTTTTGGCTTTTCTTCCTTTTTTGTGTTGTTTTGGATAGGTGTTTTAATTATAATGGTTGAGAGGGGGGCTGTTTGGTTAAAAGGGTGTTTCGTTTTGGACACTACCTAGGATGAAGTGTTGGCACTAGCTCCATTGAGGTAGCCACAGGAATGGCTTGTCAAATTTTTTGTTGCTTGTTATTTTCTTTTTAGGAGATGAATTTGTTAATTTAATTAGATTTTAATAAGGCTAATGTTATAATGAGGTGGATAGTTAACAAAGCTTATATGACAATAAAGTGACTGATTTGGCACTAAAATGAACAGCATAATTGCCGACTTGGGGATATGTTGAGAATTAGAAACAATTTTTATATGTAGGTATAAATGTAACTATATATGCTTTCTTTAATATTTTTTTTCTTTTGTAAAAAAAGAAAACCTTAATAAAGTTTTTGTAAATGAAAAATAAAAAAACCATTGGCTCCTGATAAAGTCTTCATATTCTTTTTTAATTTTTTTCTAAAAAATAAAAAATTCTGTGATTGCCATCATTGAAAATCCATATATTTTTTTAAAGAGATGATTTTTTCTTTAATCTTCATAGTGAATTAAAAAGATCTATCGATAAAGCTTTAAAGTAAGAAAAATGTTCATTTTAACAAAATCATTACTTTTCACAAGACTTTTTTAATGGAGATGAAAGTATCATCAAAACTTATATCCCATTCACCTTCTGTTAAAAATGATGGTTCCAAATCTATTGTACAATTTTTTTTTCTCATTTTTTTTTATTTTCTACTTCTATTTATGTTTTTTTATTCTAGATTCCTATTTATCTCTTTCCCTAATTTGTAGTAGCATAAGGTGCCATGAGATTTCTCATTTCTTCCTTGACC